CCAGCCAGCATGGCTGGCTGGGGAATTCTGGGAGTTGGTCCACACATCTTCAAGTTGCCAAGGTTGAGAAACACTGGTCTATGACACCAAAAATTCAGGAAGATTCTGGAGGTCCCTTTTTTGACTAACCGATTTGATTAAAAGGCAGAAGCTTTCAAGAGCTGCAGCTCGCTCAAGACTAAACTCCATAGACACACTCCCTAATAACACCATTTTAGCTCCCATGGGTGTTGAGGCCCTCTGCACTAACATCCCCCACCAACATGGACTTCAACCATCAAGAAGACCATCACTGATCCCCAAACTGCCCACCTTGCCCTAACACTGTGTGACCTTGTACTCACCCCTAACTACTTCACCGTTGGCAACAACGCACACCATACCATGGTGGCAAACCCATGGGCACCCTCATGGCTCCTCAATAGGGCAACATCTTCACGGCTGACCTAGAACAACACCTTCTCAACTCTTGCCCCCTGAAACCCCTCCTTTACTTGAGATTCCTTGAGGGCATTTTCATCATCTGGGTCCATGGAAACAAATCCCTCATGGAATTCCACCACAGCTTCAGCATTGTCACCCCATCATCAGCCTTAGCCTCAACCAGGAAGGGAACTGCAGCTCAAAAAAGCTTCCACCTTTCCATAAAATGTGTTAGCCCGGAAAGGTGATACCAGATTCCTTCTGTTTTGTTGCTACCACATCACTGTCACCCAAGAATTCACATCACACCTTATTTTAAGAAGGTCCAAATGGGTAGACCCCTAACTCAAGTCATGAGATTTCAAGCTAACTCCGTCCACTCTCCGCAGTGAATTTTTCTGCTCACGCTCTGACACACTCACCTTGATGTCCCCAATCCTCGACCACTCCTGAGACAAGCGCAAGCTGTTGGGCACACAGAAGCAGAGAAAACCTTGAGTGAGGGCTATTTCTGTACTCTCAAGAAGGCCCCACAGCCAGCCCATGGCTTCAATCCCACATTGAATCGCACCCAGAATTTCGACTGAGCATTTGGACCTCAGGCCTACAGCACAATTTTTCCAGGATGCATCTGATGCTAAAAGCCAAGTTGGCAAAGAGGAAGCAACTGAAGATCGTTCTCCTCGATTTGTATCCCTTCTCCATGGCATTTCAATCCCTGTTTTTGACACCTCCGAAGCTGTTGGCATTTAGTGCTGCCAGTGTTTTGGGTTGCCTTGTACATGATGCCTACTGTCTGGGATGGATGTAAATTCTCCCGAGAAACTAGCTTGGGTGTCCTATTGCTAGATCTGCTGTGATTTTATCTGGATAATGAAGGATTCGGAAGCACGTTTGGGGAGGAGGGGGCTGAGCTGTGCTGTGCTGAGAAGGCTCCCGCTCCCCGAAGGACATGGATGAAACTCTGCCTCTTTGAAAAAATAGCAGAGCAGTATGGAAGGTGGGGAGCTTGTGCTAAAGCCTCCTTCATCACGAGCCATGCTGCCAGGGGCTTCTAACTGCTGTAGTTCAGCAACATCCGAAGGCCCACCTACTTCCCCTCCAGGCCCAGCCATGGACGCTTAGATTACACCTTTCTTCTGCCTTGCATTTCTGAATTTTAAAACCAGATGGGAGACGTTCCATGGAGAAAACCCAAGGTCTGGTGAGGTTGGCCTCTACAAAGTGAGGGGAGAGTCATGCCATCTCAGCAGTTGAGTTCCTTCATGAAAACATCTCGAGTCCCTGTTGCCCTAATCAAGGGGAGAAGCAGCTTTGGGGAGATGGAAGGGGAAAGGGTCTGAGAACAGAGAGACCTACCTGTTGAGGGCCACCGAACCTCCAACCTTGCCCATGGAATTCCCCGAACTGTCACCTTTCAGGAACATCTGTCCGGTGAAGTTGCAGTCCTGAGAGTCAGAAGAAAACTCAGTCAGGTGGATTTCCCAGATGCAGAAGAGCCAGGACTGTGCTCTCCATTGTGGCCACCAAAAACGAAAAGAAGCGGACACTGCCTCTGTTCTTGTCCCCCAATAATGGATCTCATGCTGACCCCCCTTCTGAAGGCAGCTAGACCTGTGGAAATATTCTGAGTGAATGGGGTCAAATAAGACCAAGTCAGGTGCTTTCCCGGTTCTGCAATCCATTTGGGTTGGGGGACAATTTGGAGATTCAGTCTGAATCAGTTCCAACATCCAAGTCATATCAGTTCCAGATCAATTCTCCTGCATGAGGAACCTGATTTGGTCATACAGGCAAGAGCTATTGGGCATTGTCTTTTCTTCTGTAACCATGATTAGATAAATCTGGAATTTTTACCTTGCTTTTCCCTCTGGAAGTCACCTGTTTGCCTTCCAGAGACAGCCCAGCTTGTGGGCATTGCTGTAGTCCAGTATTTCTCGACCTCAGGCACTTCAAGCTGTGTGGACTTCAACTCCCAGGATTCCCCAGCCAGCATGAATTCTGGGAGTTGAAGTCCACACAGCTTGAAGTGGCTGAGGTCAAGAAACATTGCTGCAATCTGTTAGGAGACTGTGTGTTTCCGTGGAAGGGACAGCGAGAGCAGTTCCAGACCTTGTGTGTGGTCCATAAAGGACCTTCCAAAACCATCCTCCAGAGCTTCACCAGGTCCGGCCAAGGCTCCTTCTGCTTGTGCCAAATGGCTGTTCGCAGACAGAAGGGCCGCGAGGGCAGCCTGCCCATAAGGCAGCCTTTCCTGAACCGCATCCGCCTTTGTCCCTCGCCACTTCCGGATTTGAAACACGGGGGAAAGAAAGCAGCCCCCAGGAGTGAAGCTTTGATCCCCAAGGCTGCCATTTACCCAACACGCTTCGTCCAGTCCTGAATTGGCCTCTGCTGAACCCGGGCGGGCAGGCAGTAGAAGCTGCTCGAAGCATCAGTTAGCCAAACCGGCTGGGTGGAACCGCACGCTCGGGCGGCAGAAGCCCAACCCAAATTCGTATCATGGAATTTGGGCTTTTCTGCAAAACTGCCCACTAGGACTTCCGGGGATTTGGTTAACGCAGCCCCAGCGCACCATGTACATGGCAACAGGCGCTTTGCTGTCCTGGAACGTTTTCTTTCCCCTTGTAATTTCCTCCATGAATCACAGCATTCCCACAGCTCTCCCTTGCCGCCCCGTAATTACCACCACTTCTATTCCTGCCCTTCTTTTTGTGTTCTTGCCTCTCTTTCTCCTTGTCTTTGCCCCCCCACTCATCTTCCTCTTCCTCCTCCTCCCCCTCCTCCTCTTCCTCCTTGTCCTGCCTTTGTTCTGATCTCATGGGCTAAGAGATGGCGCTCCAGTGCAGCCTGTTTCCCCCCCAGCCCACTTTTTCAACATCGGACGGCCACCCCCCACGCCGCCGGTTTCGCTGCTGCCGAGCTCCCTTGAAAGCGGCGCCTGTTCAGACCCCCTCGTTTCCCTGCTCTGGATGTGCCCCCCCCATGCTCACGATGTTGAGGACGAACACGGAGACCAGGCTGCTGTTCGGCAGGACCACAAAGGCCTCGGCCCGCCCAAGGACCGCGGCATCCAGGCCCCCCGGCTGGAAGTGCAGCACCGGGGCCTTCCGAGCTGCCAGGTGGATTTCCATGGGCATCTCTGGAAACTGCTTTTTCAGCTGGAGAGGAGGGGGAGAGAGGCTGGAGGGCACCGCCTGTGGGCGGGGGGTGATCTTTCCGCCCCCACC